CCCGAGACCAACGTGTGACATACCAAGGCTCCGATCGTGGAGGATATCAAGTAAAACCGGAGGTTTCATAGACAATACTGGAAAAAGTCTTGTCCTGTAGTTTGGGTTAGTTTGGGGTTTTATTTGATACCTTTGTCAACACATAGCGGTCATCTTATCAACAATTATAGTCATACAATTATTGACTTGACACATTGGGATATTTCACGTAGTATAGCTAAATTTCCACACGGACAGATATAGCGCCCCATCCCACCCCTCCTCGTAAATAACCCAATAATGTTGATTGGGGCGTAAAAACTTTGCCATTTTATATGTTCACGGTAATGGCCTTCAGACACCGGGTCAACGACTTCTCCTAGTGCTGGTCACATAATGTCAAAAATTAGGAGAAAGAGCTGCTAGAATTTTTAAAATATAAAGTCTACATTATGAAACGACAGGCAACAGAGTTTGAACCCACATCTCATAGTAACCAGGCTTACATTCAACCATTAGGGTTAATTAATTTACTGACAAAAGGCCAATCAAAGCATTGGACTAGTCACTCTAAAGCATTTTGTTTTAACCAGTCTGCTTTCGATAAGATCATATTAGTTTAAATACAAGGCCTATAACTCACTCGCGGTCGTCCATGTAGATCTATACTTTACTAGTTAGGTCAATGACTGCGAACAGTAGCACACAGCTGCGCCTAACCGGCTACATGACGATTCGTGTCACGGCTGTGCGTGGAAGCGTCATGCTCGAACCGGCTTAGTGCAGAGAATCGGCCACCTGCATTGTGCTCCACATTTTTAGTCATCCTGTAACCGGCTACGTGCAAAATGAAACTATCGGTTGTCGAATTTTAGAAAAATTAAGTAGTATTTGGTACTAGCACATATATATATAACTTAATCTTTTGTTCTGAAATATGTAAGATTACGCTACGCGTTTTAACAGGAATCAGTTTTTTGTCCTTCCTGTAAAATTTGCCTTTCTGCATGTAGCCGGTTTGTGAAAAACACCGACGATATAATTTATGACTTCGAACTATCCTTGACAATGTTCCCAGAACAGGAGGCAAGCGAGAGCTTCAGTGTGGAGGTGTTCTGGTGTCCAGTCAGTGGGTACTGACCGCTGCCCACTGTGTCCGTGACGTCACTAGTGCCATCGCTGTTCTGACTGATTGGGATTCCCTTGTGGAGGACGCCGGGGAGGTAGAACTCTTCCTAAGCTGTACAATAAATTGGCCTGATATTTTGAACATGAGTACTTTACGAGGGGGTGGGACTCCTAAAGGCTTTCTCGGCTATTACGAACCCAAGAGAGCCAATATTTGTTGTGGGACATCATGTCTTATTTTGGGGGGGGGGGTAGTTTAGTTTTAGTAGAGGTTTTACGGCGCTAGCAACTGCATAATAAGGTCATATGAAATCAATTGCTTAAAAAAAGGTAAATATAAATCTAGTTCAGTTGCTAGGGAAACAGTAGCCATATTGGATTTTGTTTTCCAATTTTAATCCCGTTTTATTCCCTTATTCATCAACAAATACACTTTTAATTTAGTATGTACGTAGAAAAAGGACAAATCTATAGATCGTCCTGGGAATGCCTAGGAAATATAATACGTGGTAACGCCAATTTTCCTAATTTGACCACAAAACGCCCTTTTAGGTGTCCCACCATCCCTTAAGTGACATTATGGACTATAATATATACTTAGTAGAGTGATAGCACGGAAATATACGTTTCGTTTGATATGAAAATGAGAATGATATACACGTAGCCTGACATTGGGAATTTACAGGCATAAAGTGACCGTTATGCTCTCAGCTGTCTGTAAAAGAGAGCGCTATAATATAAGATTAATACAGGGACTGTGGCGAAACCAAAGACCGTTATAATAATATAGTATATATAGTGACCGGGAAGAAATAAAAGACCGTTAGATCCTTAGCTGAAGGTAGAAGTGACTATATATACCTAATATATTTATGTGGTGAGTGGAACGAAATAAAAGTCCGTTATCTCATCAGCTGTCTGTACAAGTGAGCTCTGTGGTGAGCCACCCAGGGTACACAGATCTGGAGTACCAGGAGAACAACGACATCGCTCTCCTACAGCTCTCACGCCACGTGACTTTCTCCAGCTCTGTAAGGGCAATATGTCTGCTGGACAGTCCTGCACTCGCAAAGGTATGGGTATTTTGTTCTGTTGTTTATTTGTTGTTGTTGTTGTTGTTGTTGTTGTTGTTGTTGTTGTTGTTGTTGTTATTGTTGTGGTTGTTGTTGTTATGCTTTATTTTGTTTAGTTTTTCTAGGGGTGTTTGAGTTTGTTTTAAAAAAATGTAATACTTTAAAAATCTATCCCTTTCTTTTTCTTTTCTTTTTTATAAAAACAAAATTCGAGAGGGGAGGGCTGGTTGTTTGGGGGACGGGGTGCTACTTTCGTTTTGGGGCATTTTTAGATGTTGTCAATGGGCTATTAGTCAGAACAATTGGACTCTGAACCGTAAGGCCATGGGTTCGAATACCGCCAAGAGCGATAGTGGAGAGATGGGGAGAGGGATGGAGTCGGGGGACGACATGGGAGAGATGGGGTAGAGAGAGTTGGAGATGGAAAGATAAGTGAGATATTGTGAGTGGGAGAGGGAGAGGAGAGAAGGAGTGGGGAGACCGGGAGGGGGGAGGAGGAAAAAGAGTCATTTCGATATGTGTTTCTAATCTACAAGATCTATTTCTTCTGTCCTGCTGTATTCCAAGCAGATTTCTTGGCTGTCAATTCGCCTGGTCACTAACTACATTCCCCGTCCTAAGCCAACTCCCTCGTCCTTGAAATCTCCATAGAGTGGTGCCTGCCTCCAAAATGAAATATGTGTCACAACGCCATGGAATCAGGCGCTCGTCAATTTTTGGGCATGTGGAGTTAATAGTGCCAGCTTAAAGCTTGTTAATTTGCCTTGTTTTGGGTGGGAAAAGTACCAACCTACCTTGGAAAGAAGTCTAGATATTTGCCATTGACGGATGCGGGGGGTCGCCTGGTTTCAGAGGTAAAATTAACGAGAAAATGGCCACCAAAGTTCAATGACTTCCAAAACTTGAGAGGCCTTGAAAACTGAAAATCTGCAATTTTGGTTCCTTTAATCAGCGTTTTTCAGTAAAATCCGCACAGAAATGTGTTTTTTAATGGACATAAAAGGTTGTGAGCCAAAAACCAAAATTCGAGAAGAATTTTGCTACTGGTGGAAAAATGCCTTTTTCTTCTATTTCATTATTGTGACGAGCGCCTGATTTCACCACGCTGCCTCACATGTATGTGTCTCTTGCGGCATCAAAATCAACCCATCCCCCATCTCCACTCCCCCTACTCAAAATAAATAAATAAATAGATAAATAAATAGTAAGCAGTCAAACAAAATTTTAAAAAGGGAATGTCTCCTTTGTATTCCAAGCCCATCGGCCAAACACAAACACACAAAAACAATCACATCAAACATAGGAACAACAGCAACAACAATAAAAAAAAAACAGCAGCAACAGTGGCAACAACAGCAACGACAACAATACGACGACGACGATAAATTTTAAAAAACAAACAACTAAAAATAAAAATAAAAACGAAACAATAAACGAAACAAAAGCCATAACCAAAACAAAGCAAAATTAAATGTTCTAAATTCTAATACCCCCCCCCCCCCCCCGTGCCCCTTGCCATGTCCCCACAACCCACCCTGTGGCTCAGCCCGGTCTCCTCTGCACGGCCCTGGGTTGGGGAGTCACAGGCGAGTACAGCTTCCGTCCCTCCCGGACGCTCCAGAGGCGGGAAATCTACCTGGTCGGGACCCGGGAATGCGCGGACTTGAACCCTGAACTCACGCTCAACGAGGGCCATCTGTGTGGGCAGGTAGGACGGTTGAGAGTTTTAGTTTTAGTAGAGGTTTAACGGCGCTCGCAACTGCATAAGGTCATATGAGCGCCAGAAAATTAGAGGTGTTACAAGAGAGTAACAAACATAAAAAAGAAGAAGGGGAGATAAGGACGAAAGATGTCTGATAGGAAAGAAGAAGCAAACCACACCAGAGCACCCATGACGGTTGAGAACAAAGTTGTCAGCAACATTCTGTGAAATGGTATGGTAAAGGTTTAACGCCTCTATCAACACTAGTATGTTATTCAAGAGGCGGGGCCTCAGAGTTTCACGTCCATCTCCGTAAAGACCGAGCCAAATGGGAAATTCGAGTAAAATGCCTTTCCCAAGAACGCAACGTCGGACCGAGCTGAGGCTGGAACCCCCGAACTCGCAAACGCACAATTACGAGTCCGCAAGCCTAACCACTAGGCTACCGACGCCACTGTGTATGTATGCCTATATATTTTTTAAAATATACATAGTATATTATTCATTTTCTAATTTCTATTTGCATATTGTCTTACATCACCACTCGCAGTGCGTGTATTTATAGCTCCACCTATACTGAACAGAGAACTCCCACTGTTTTTAAAAAGTGGAATTGGAAAGCATGGTTAAAATTTTGAGTACGTTATAACAATACTTGTAAAATGAAACCTACGATTGTATAAAACCTTGGGCTCGAACTCAGGAAATTCCAGCTTTGTCGCACATATATTCTTAGACATATTGAATGCTACCTTTGTATAAATTTTGAAGTCTGAAGACTGTTTCTTCTAAAAGGTGACCTACTTACGTACATACTTACTTACGTGGGTACGTACTCACTTACGTACGTACTTACTTAGTTACTGACTTACTAACTGATTTATTGGTGAAACGGTGAAATGGTATGGGATTAACACCCCTATCAACCGTATTAGGTTATTTTAAGAGGCGGGACCTCCTAGTTTAATATCCGTCTCCGAAAGGACCGAGCCAAGTGGGAATTCGTGAAGAGTGCCTTTCCCAAGGACACAATGTCGGCTGAGGCTCGAACTCCCGAACCCGCAATTTCAACTGATTTATTGACTGACTGACTGATTGACTGACGTATACTTACCATA